AGCCCGGCGCGCGCGACGGGCTGAGCGGCGGCCCGCCCGCCGCGAGCGCGCCCGCGCTGGGCACGCTGTGGAAGGACGTGCTGCGGGCGATTTCCAGCGCCTCGCTGACTGTACGCGACGCGGCGGAGCACTCGCTGCCCAGGCCGCGCGGCTGCACCTGCGTCACGCGCTTGGCTATCGTGTTGAGCATCTGCAGCAGCGCGTTGCATGCGGTGCGCTTGTTCGTGGGGTCCTCGCTGGAAAGCGCGAGGTTGAACACCGCGCGGACCGCCGCCAGCAGGCACTCGCCGTGCGCGACAAAGTGCTCTGCCGTCGTGAACGTCAGCAGCGCGCGCACGACGGCCAGCTGCAGCGCCTCGTTGCTCGTCTCGCCGCACTTGATCACCATCTTGATGACCTGCGCGACTGCGTCGTCGCCGTCTACCGAGCCGTGCGCGGACAGCAGGTCCATCGTGCCGCTCGGCCCGCTCTCGCCGTGCAGCCACGCGTGCGCGACGAGCTTGTGCAGGCAGCCGAGGGCCAGCTCGACCACCTTCGTCATGTTGCTGGCGCACGCGAGCTGCAGCGGGTAGAGCACCTCGCGCAGCGCGTCGTCGCCGGCGCCGCTCTGGTCGAGGCGGTTGAGGAAGGCCTGGCAGGCCTCGCGGATCTCCTTGACCTCCTTGCTGCGGCCCCATGCCTCCTTCTGGATGCTGGTGATGGTGCGCTTCACGAAGATCTCGAACGCCTTGTCGCGCGAGGAGTGCGCGGCGACCTCGGCGTCGGCCATGGCTGCTGCTGCTGCTGCTGCTGCTGCTGCTGGGGCGGCTGCTGTCGGAGCTGCTGCTGCTGGGGATGTTGCTGTGCGCTACTGGGTCCCCGGCGCCGCGGCAGTGCGCCAAGTATGCACGGTGTGCTGCCCTGCCACCTGGTGCCGCTCCCTCTGGAGCACCGGGCAGCCGCCTGGCCAGCGCCGCTGGGAGAGGCGGCACGATCGGCGCACGCCCTGACCTTGAGTGGGCGCGCGATGCTCACGCGCCTGCCGATGTGTGCTCTGTTGTTGCTGCGCAAGGCTCTATGTAAGGCCTGTACCGTTGGCTGATTGATAGAAGTTGATCGGTAACACCAGCCTTGGCTTGGAGCCTAGCCTACTCGACACGGTTGAGAAACTACGAGCTCCTAGATCATCACACGCCATGCTCCCGGCTCCGATACAAGGGGTGACATATCATATGCTCTCAGTGCTGCTGAGACAACAGGTTGTGTCCGGAAGCGAGCTGTGATCGAGCAACTTTGATGTGCTGTCCCTTGCCACGTTACAGTTGTGCATGGCGACGAGACGCGCCATAATATATTTTGCTGGAATATCTTCTGGCTGTATCTTTGCCTCTTCCAGCGATCGGGTTGCGAAACAGGGCAAGACCGCATCCTCGAACCCCACGGCCTACAGGCATCTTACAAGCCTGTAAATATCCCCATTGACTATAGTGACATTACATGTGCTTCCCAGATCACAGGGTCACCAGCGTTGTTTGCTCACCAGCGCGCTGGCTGCAGCCAGGCATACGAGAATGATGCAGCACGTGGCTCTACACCTTGTTTCTCTAACGTTGCGGCGGGGAGTGCAACAGGCAGCCGCATCAGCGATCCGGCAGGGCGGTGTTTTGCATGAAGGCGCAGCGTGCGGCACGGGCGGCGGGGCAGGGTTCGCCACCCTCCAGCAGCCTCCTGTGCATTCAAACCTGCGTACTTCACAGCCGCAGCAGCCCGTTGGAGCCGCCAGCCGCCAGCCACCGCGAATAGTCATTTACCGGGGCAGGTGGGAGCCTATGGACTGGCACCCGCCAGCAGCAACAGCACGACAGCGACGCTTCGGCGCGCTGATCTTTCACGCCCTTGTCGTTTTGCCTTGTCTCTCAAACGCTTTCCAATGCCGGCAACGCGCTCAACGCACATATATATCACGTGCTCAGGTGGATCAAGGTGTTCCGCTATGCAGTGCGCGCCAAGGTGGCGCAGCTCATGGCCGCGGGCGGCGTGGCTGCCGGCTTAGCGGGCCTGGGGGCGACGGACCTATCCCTAATGGACGCTGTGGTGCTTCTCGGCATCATGACGGGCTCTGTCGGCGGCAGCCTCAGCCTCTGGTGGGCGCCACAACGGGCGTGGACTGCCCTCTGGCTGTGCTGCTGTGTTGTGCCCTAGGAACGGCAAGTCGGGTGCAGCTGTACGTCTGCGGGGTGTCGCCGCGCCCACCCGCCTCGTCCTCAGCTGCACCATGTTGCTGGCGCCAGCTCAGGCGGCCGCGACAATCTCAACAGGAGCTGCCCCAACACTCGGCCTGCAAGTCCTCCCCACCACACATCCCAACAC